ATATAACAAATAATTTCCAAAATTAGAAGCTTCAGACAACAATAAACATTTATTATTCCATATAGTTTCTACGGGTCAGGAGTTCAGGAATGTCTAAGTGTTGTGGTTCTGAGACTTTTCATGAGTTTTGTAGTCAAAGTGTCGGTCGGGACTGCAGTCATCTGAGACTTAACTGAGGCAGAAAGAGCCAATTCCAAGATGGCTTATTCACCTGGCTGTTGGCAGGAGGCCTCAGTTCTTTGCCTCATGGACTACTTTATAGGGTTGCTTGTCTTCAAGGCATAGCCACTAGTTTCCTCTAGAAAGAGTGATCTGAGAGAGTAACGCAGAAGCCACAAGTCTTTTATGAATTGCCTCAGAAATCGTATACCTGGGACTTCCCTGGTGGTCCAATGGTTAAGACTCTGCACTCCCAATGCAGGGCGCCAGGGTTTGATCCCTGGTTAGGGAACTAGATCCCACATGCTGCAGCTAAGAGTTCGCAAGCCACAACTAAAGATTCCTCATGCGCAACGAAGACCCCACACGTGGCAACGAAGATCCCCCATGCCACAACTAAGACCCGGTGCAGCCAAATAAGTTAATTAATTAATTAATTAATATTTTTTTAAAAAAGCAATCGTATATCTTTATTTCCACACTACCCTACTGGTTCCAGAGGTCATCCCTATCAGCATGAGAGGGGACATGGATAGCAGGAGGTAAGGACCATCGAAGGCCATCTTGGAGGCTGACTACCGCATGTATGAATCTTCAAATGCGAGCTTGCTGAAATCAGACTTTTCAGAAGAACCCAATGTAGTAAAAAAAAACCCACCCAAGGATGGAGTTGGTCAGAGAATCATGGAATGGCATAGCCAACTGGGTAGAAGCAGTTCGGGCAGAAACTCTAATACAGTAGATATAGATATATATTGATAGATAGCTAATTATAGCATAAAACTAACCTAAAGCAGAAACAGAAAATGGAAGAAAGACCATGAATTAATTGAGGCACTAGAATTGGTGTTTGTCACAATTAAAGGGAAAAAAGGAAGAAAAATTAAAGAATTAAAGACTTTAAAAGTTGCTGTAAATATTAAAAAAGAGCTCAGAAAAGCACGGTTCTCATTGTCATTCATTCATTATGGACTATGCCACTGACTGACTGACAAAGCTTGTAAATGGCTCCTACGATTCAAATCATCTCTTAGTATCATCACAGAAGATATTGTCCCCTTTAAGCAAGGTTGACCCCTCTACCTATCTTTCAATAACAGTTGTTTTAGGAAATTGCCTAAGATTTCCTCTTATTGAACTACACTTGTACTTGTTCTCACCAAAGTCTCAACGTTGTACTATATCAGTTCAACATTTGCTTTTGCACTCTGGATGGGGTGTTCATATCCCTAACTGCCTAGCAGGATCTAGTTCCCCGACTAGGGTTCAAACCCGCCCCCCCTGCATTGGGAGCCAGGAGTCTTACCCAGTGGACCACCAGGGGAGTCCCCCATCAGGTGGCTTTAGATCTGCTCTTATGAAACCCAACCCTGGCCTTTAAACAAGTTGGCCTTTGGTCTCAGCTGGGCTAGTCCAAGTCTCCTGACCCCTCCCTCAGAGGGAGATTCTAGCAACTGGGAAGAACCACTTCCATTTTATCTTCTAATGATAACTGACAATTACAAACACAGCTGGTTGGTTACATTTATTACCAGTAGGTCCATGGTCAAGTTGGCCTCAATTACCCTGCTGAATACATGCTGATTACTCTATTATTACCTCTTAGCAACAGTATAAGGAAGACAACCTGTCTTAATAGAAAGGATACAGAATCTGAGAGTAGCTTTCTAGGTCTGGGAACCAGAGAGAGGGAGGTGAGTGGAGGTGGAGAGATGGGCAACCCTAGTCCTTAACCCTCCTTATTTACCCAGGGGCACCCAGATTCCCTATCTCTCCTTTCCCTCAATACACAGGACTTGAAGGGTCCCTTACCCACTCCAGTCTGACCTCCGCCATTCCAGAGCAAGCTGGACCAGGTGTGCATGTGACTGAGTTTTGACCATGCAATTGAGGTGAAATCCTAAGAGAGGGCAAAGCAACAATATGAAAGGAACCCAAGTCTCTGATTGACCAGGTGCAGCAGAGCTGCCTGCTGCTCAGCATCTTCCAGACTGTTATTTGAGAAATAAACTTCTGTTTTCTCATTTTAAAAAAGAAAAAAAGAGTACAGACTCCTTTTTTTTTTGAATTTTTGAATTTTATTTTATTTTATTTTTATACAGGAGGCTCTTATTAGTCAGAATACAGACTCTTGATTAAGGGTTGGATTTGAATATCAGCTCTTAAACTTAACACTCCTGTGACCCAGTTAAGTTCCTTTAATATCTATTAGCTTCAGTTTTCCATAGGTGTAAAGTAAGGTTGTTATATATTTCACAGCACTGTTCAAGGTATAGGAAAGAAAATATGTACACCTGGCGTATAGTGGACACTCTATATTTATTTATTTATTTTATTTAAAACTTTATTTTTAAATTTATTTTTGGCTGCATTGGGTCTTTGTTGCTGCGCGCGGGCTTTCTCTACTTGCATTGAGCGGGGGCTACTCTTCGTTGTGGTGCGCAGGCTTCTCATTGCGGTGGCTTCTCTTGTTGCGGAGCACGGGCTCTAGGCGCGCGGGCTTCGGTAGTTGCGGCACGTGGGCTCTAGAGCGCAGGCTCAGTAGTTGTGGCACACGGGCTTAGTTGCTCCCCGGCATGTGGGATCTTCCTGGACCAGGGCTCGAACTCATGTCCCCTGCATTGGCAGGCTGATTCTTAACCACTGCTCCACCAGGCAAGTCCCTAGTATATTTTAATATTTCCCAAAATGCATTACTTTGCACTCTATTTCTTAATGCTAACAATGACCGAGAAAATAAGAAGGGCTTAAAGTATATTTGCTATATGTTTCAAGAAGGCAGGGATCAATTTTATTTAAAATAAATTTTTTTGGGGGGGGGGACTGCGCTGCGCGGCATCTGGAATCCTATTTCCCTGACCAGGGATCAAACCCATGTTCCCTGCATTGGAAGCATGGAGTCTTAACCATTGGACCACTAGGGAAGTCCCTAAAATATTTCATTAAAGGCAGATTTTTAAACATCTTATACTTAAGGGGATTAGTTTAAATTAATTAGAAAACTAATTCAGAATTTTCACGTTCTTCAAAGGTGTTAGATAAATGAAGATTTTCTAAATTATAATAGCAAAGTCAGAATAAATACCTGTTTATGTTGACAAGTCTTCTAAATGTGTCTTTAGATCTGGTTGGTTGCTTTGACCCCCAAGCAAGAGAGAATAAATAATGCATTCCTCTACAAGCTGACTAACCATAAAAGTGTAACAAGTTCCCATTGGTATGCCCAGACCTGTGGAAGAGAAAATGAGTAGAAAATAAGAAAGGTATGTAGCACCTTGTTCTGACTTCCCAAGGATTAAAGGATGATCATATGAACAAACCCACAATGTAAATTATTTATACTGTTGAATAATATGAAACTATATAAATTAACAAAGATTATATATAAGAACAATTTCTAAGCAATTCCTAACACATATAGGCTATTGTTTAAGAATTCAATAATATCTTGAAGTCCATTAATGCTATAGTTCTCACCTTTTGAGATACCTCTGTGGCTCTTAGGGGGTTATTTGTTACTCAAGGTCAAAGTAAGTTGAAAGCAGAAAGTTCTGCAAGACTACCAGCCAGGAACACATGAATCTATCTGCTTTTCTTCCTTACTGTCCAAGACAGCAGGGTCTTTCTTGCCTGATTCACTCAGGAAGAGCAGGACTCTTCAAGACACACTGAGAGAATCCACCAAGCACATGACAGGTTCGTTAGGGCTGCAGGCTACCATTATATACCTTCCCTCCCATCCCTTCCAGGGCAAAACCCCATGAGAGCTGAACCTTGTCTGTCTTATGTACAGCGTACAGCACAGGGCTGGCATGTAGTAGTATTCAACCATTTCCTAAATGAACATGATAGAGTGGCAATGAGAACTTGAGGTAACTGGAGCCTTAATTTGGAAAGCATTTCCCAGGCATAAGGGCATGACCTGGGGATATATAAGCTACTCAAGGAGTACAGCGCAGTGTACAACAATCTATAATGGAGCTATATGCCCCCAAATGAACTCAGACAAGGTCCCAAATCCAGACACAGGCATCTAGGGAAAATGATTTTGTTACCATGCTAGTTTTTCTTTGGGACTGATCATTTATGTTTCATAACAGAAATTTGGCTTTGGGCAGCTTCATTTATTTATTAAAAAACATTTTTTTTTTGCGGTATGTGGGCCTCTCACTGTTGTGGCCTCTCCTGTTGCAGAGCACAGGCTCTGGACGCGCAGGCTCAGCGGCCATGGCTCACGGGCCCAGCCGCTCCGCGGCATGTGGGATCTTCCTGGACCAGGGCACGAACCCTTGTCCCCTGCATCGGCAGGTGGACTCTCAACCACTGCGCCACCAGGGAAGCCCCCAGCTTCATTTATTAAAGAAGAACATCATGATTTTAGAGAACAGAACACCGTTTTCCTTGTTTTGCTGTTCAGTAGGGCAGAATGTTTAGACCGACTCTCTTTTTTACAGAAGTAACTTAGCATACCCAAATGTCTAAGTACTCAACTGTTATGCTGCTGGAAGTGGCAAGAGAAAACAATCCAGGTAGAAATGAACAGGAAAAGATGTTTAGGTTCCCTGTTCTGTGAAGAGTAATGTAGGGAAATGAAAGTGAACTGGAGAGGAAGAGAAATGGGAGCTGAAGAAACAGCCAAGAATCAGGAAGAGAGATTGCAAAACATGCCCCCTTTAGCCCCAAGTGCATTTGCATTTGCCTCTTTCTCCGCCTTTTGGTTGTTTGGAGGTGCCAGGCATGCGTTGCCACATGGCACACCCTCGACCTCTCCTGGTCACACTCTGTCATGAGTCACAACCTTGAGTCCTGTGGAAACAGCAAAGAGCGGGGCTCTCGGGGAGGAAGACAGTGCCTGACCCAGTGTCCACTACTTCAAGAAATGGGCATAAGGTGGCAGCACTGGTAGTGCCTGCAGGTGTTGTGGAGAGAAACTTGGCCAAGGGCCAGCTGTACTTGAGCTGCTAAGTCCCAGGGAAAAGATGGAAAAGGGGAACTCTGTTAAAGACCTCCTTATTAGGGTAGTAAGTGATGGAAGGAAAAAGGCTTCTCCTGGGGGAGCAGTGGCACCAGGAGCTCCACTAGGAGGAATGCGTGATGAGGTCACATTGCCTGGCACCCATACGTCTGTTAAAAGAATAACTGCCACTTATGAGGAAGGATTAAGACGGACTGATGAACAACATGGATGAATCTTGAAAACATGGTAAGTGAAAGAAGCCAATCACAAAAGATGTGTACTGTACAATTCTGCTTACGTGAAATGTCCAGCACAGGCAAATCTATAGAGACAGAACGTAGGTGAGTGATTGCCTAGGGCTTGAGACTGGGGACAAAGAGGGGGTGACTGCTAAAGGGTTTCTCTTTAGGTTGATGAAATGTTCTAAAGTTGATTGTGGTGATGGTTGCACAACTCTGAATAAGCTAAAAACCATTGAATTTTGCACTTTAATGGATAAATTGTAATGAAACCTCAATAAACCTGTTACTTTTTTAAAAATGAATATTTAATTAAAACCAGAGAGGAAAGGTTATAACGTGAGTGCATTCTTAACCCTTCTCTCCCTCCCTGGTCCTTTGAATACCTATGGTTTCAATAGGGATGAGAGGCATGCCTTTTCCTGGAATCACCCATTTCTAAGCCAGTGCCTCTTAAACTTTAATTTGCATACAGATCACCTGTGGATCTTGTCAAAATGCAGAATCTGTTTCAGAAGGTCTGAAGTGGAGCCTAAGACTGTGCATTTCTAAGAAGCTCCTAGGTGATCTTGAAGCTGCTGGTCCTAGAATTACACTTTGAATAGAGAGACTCTAAGAGACTCATTGAAATTATATTTGTTCTTTGATTGAGATTAGTATTATGTCAGCTCTGTACTGAAGTTAAAATGCCAAGTAAATATTTTTATTTTGACTTGCTAGTGGCATAACATATATATGATGCTTCTAACAACAGTTAATACAGGTATCTTGAAAAAGTACATTACTAACATTATGGTATTTATTATCCATTTTTATTGAAAAGTTCAGGATTTGGAACTGTAAGAGAACTGGGTTTGAATCCTGGCTCTATCATTAACCAATGTCATGGCCTTGGACTATCTGAGTTTCAGTTTCTTTGTGTATAGAATGGAGATACTAATACCTATCTCAGCGGATTTTTGGGAGTGCTGGAGACTATGGCACACACATTATACTCACTCTTGAGATAACTACTATTATTGTCATCATATTTGTGTGAGGTGGGAGAGCTACCACATTTCCTTCTCTGGATCTCGCATCACTCCATATTTTCTTTAAAACCTCCTAAATCTTGAAATTTTGGTTGTGTGGGAGATGCTTCTCAAAGATTATTTTTCTTTATCTGCCTAAAGAAGGTGTTGTTTGGAGCTCTAGTAAAATCCATACGGAATATAATTTTTAATATGTAGATGGCTGCTTTCTTTTTTGTGGGAGGGTTTGTTCTTTTATTAAGAGATTCAAAGAAAAAGTTCAGGATTTTTTTTTTTTATGGTACGCAGGCCTCTCACTGTTGTTGCCTCTCCCATTGCGGAGCACAGGTTCTGGACTCGCAGGCCCAGAGGCCATGGCTCACGGGCCCAGCTGCTCTGCAGCATGTGGGATCCTCCCGGACCGGTACGCGAACGCGTGTCCTCTGCATCGGCAGGCGGATTCTCAACCACTGCACCACCAGGGAAGCCCGTTCAGGATGTTTAATAAGGAATTTTGGTCTTCCTGATTCTCTAGTGTTAAGCTGGAATAATTCAACATCAATGACTTATTTTTGTTTAAAAAAATTTTCAAACTGAGTTACTTAATTTCACTTTAGGGCCTCTGCTATTTTCCTTTTCCTTTACAGGTATGGCAGGCAAGTTCTTCTAATGCCTGGCCCTCAGGGAAGCCTACAGAGAGAGGCAATTCGGAAAACCCTGTTTTGGAACAGAGCTGCTCCTCAATAGCTCCCCATGGAAGAGGAATTCCTGCCACAAATGACAAGACATCACAGGCACACAGCTTGGACTAGAGTGAGGACTGCTGCTTCTTCCTTCTTGTGGTGCTCTGACCTGGGAGGCCCATGAACTACAGTATTAGGCAAGCACCCAGGTGCCTTGTTCCTCCATGTTATTCTTGGGCTACAGTCTGAATGTTGTAGGCTTGCAAGGGGCTGCCCAATGTATTTGCTTCCTTTTGTTTTTATAGTCTTTCGACTTTTAGGCTGACTTTATCTCCTTGATTTTCCTAGTTTCTGGAAGAATATGTAGCAATACTAATTGTCACTGGCAAGTTCCTGGCATACAGCATTAGTGAAATTCATTTCTTCCTTCTTGTTAAATCATTCTTGCGTTTAAAAAAAATTTTTTTAACACTTTTGTAAATCTAACCCCTTGCCAACACCTTTCTATCACTGTGTACTGAGCATTAGCTACATGAAGGCCTAAGCAGTATCGAGACTTAAGAACTTGTTTTCTTCTCTATTTGTTTTTTAAATTATAGAAGACTCTAATGCTGTCAGCTGGTAAATGTTTAGAATTTAAGGTAAACATCACTCTAACTTTTGTAAACACTGTAATAGAAAACTGGTTTTAGAGATGCAAAAACAAATCAAAAATGTTGTTTTATGGAGAATTGTGTTGAAGACATATTTTGAAATTTGAAGAAGAAAACAAGAGGTTCTATGTCTTCAGTGCAGCTTTGAATATTTAGGATTTCTTCTGTTAACTGCTCTGTTTTGTGTCACTACTGCATGAGGGCCTCAGAAAGGCTGGACTGGAAACACCAGCCCCCTGAAAGGGACAGTCACGTGTTCATGGAGTGAGGAAGTGCTAGCTGCTGGCTGGGGACTTCCCAGGTCACTAATTTTGAAAAACCCCCTGAACACTGATCTTAAAGATCCAATTCTTCTCTTCAACAGCAAGGATCAAAATGTTGGAAGGCTGTATCCTGTTTCCTCATCTAGCACCAGGATTCTGGTGAAGAGTTGCAATGAAGTGGACTCTAAGTCGGCTTGTTCTTTCCTTTCTTATCCGACCAATTAAGGACATTATTTCATTTGGTGCATCTTAGCCATTCATTTTGGTGGACAATTGTTTCTCTTGTTATAAAGACCAAAGACCATTCTAAACCCAGAGTCAGCCAAATAGGTAAAACAAATATCTCATAATTCCACATAGCTGCCTTAGGAGGACTGGGTTCTAGTCTATGCAGGAATCCCTGGCATGAGCACTGTTATGTACAGAAGCCTGAGCTTAGAGAGCAGCCAGTGTGGCATAGATTGTGACTTGTGGACATTTCTGTGCCATTTAGTCCAAGTACAATTACCCATCATGAGAGCCTATGTGACACAAACAGGAAGAGAGTAGGAGAAGATGAACAGGAGGAAAGAAGTTATCTTAATTCTATTCTCCCCAGGGGGGAAAATGACTAAAATATAACCTGAGTGTAAGAGCATTAGTAATATTAATAATAATATCTTTGATAATTAGGCCACTGATCTCAAAGTACTTTTATTTATTTATTTATTTAAATTTTATTTATTTATTTTTGGCTGCATTGGGTCTTCGTTGCTGCGTGCAGGCTCTCTCTGGTTGCGGCGAGTGGGGGCCACTCTTCATTGTGGTGCACGGGCTTCTCACTGTGGGCTTCTCACTGCGGTGGCTTCTCTTGTTGCGGAGCATGGGCTCCAGGCTTGTGGGCTTCATTAGCTGCAGCACACAGGCTCAGTAGTTGTGGCTCGCAGGCTCCAGAGCGCAGGCTCAGTAGTTGTGGCGCACGGGCTCAGTTGTTCCGCAGCATGTGGGATCTTCCCGGACCAGGACTTGAACCTGTGTCCCCTGCACCGGCAGGCGGATTCCCAACCACTGCACCACCACCAGGGAAGCCCTCAAGTACTTTTAACATCCATTATTTTCTTTGTACTCACCAAAATCTCTTTAAGGTCCCATAGAATGGGAATTGCCATGTCTTAAGTTTTTCCCTGTTCCTCTTTCCTCTTTATTCATCAACTTTCTTGGAAAATGAGGGATCTTGCCCTGTGAGTTAGGAACTTATCAATTCTGAAGGAAAAAGGCCTATCTTTCCTGTTCGTTAGACATCATCCTACACTGTACTTTATAGGAGGTACAAAAGTAGTGTATATTACAATGTTGTACATCACAGCAGGGTAATTGTCAGAGAACCTTCCATTTACAGTAAACTGAATGAGAGGATTGACATCCAAAATCAAAAAGTGGAAACTTCTAGACTGGTTTCAAAGCATCACAGTGAAAGGACAGTCATTTGACTCATGGAGAACCTCTGCTCTGATGCTTCAGAGCATACATAGTCCATATGATTAGATTTTGTAAGTCTGAAATCTTGATCATTACAGTCTATAAATGGATATAGCCTTTTGGAAGTCTTGACTTAGAATGAAAGCCTGGACCTTTGTCTCAAATATTGAGATACTATCAAATTGTAGGCTCTTTGCCTTGAATATTAGGTAGGTTATCCTCCTTTAACTCTTGTCTTCTGTTTCTTCATCCTCCACCCCCAATCACTCCCAAGAAGAACATCTCTAACAGAGTTTTCAATGTCTTTGTAGTACTTCATTCCTGTAAATTCCTTCTTCTCCATGTTTTTGTTCTGTTTTATGTAGTTTGGAAAATGACAGTGTAGAATATGTTTGGTATAACCCTAGTCCTGTCCAGCATTTTTCATCCCTTTAAAAAATATATATATATTATATATATATAAATATGTATATATATATATATATATATATATATACACACACGGGTGTGTGTGTGTGTGTTCTGCGGTTGAAAGTATAGAACTAAAAACTTTATTTATTTATTTATTTAGGCCACACCTTGCAGCATGAAGGATCTTAGCTCCCCGACCAGGGACCAAACCTTTGCCCCCTGCAGTGGAAGCATAGAGTCTTAACCACTGGACCACCAGGGAATTCCCTAGAAGTAAAAACTTTAAATAAAATAGAGGGCTTCCCTGGTGGCGCAGTGGTTAAGAATGGCCTGACAATTCAGGGGACATGGGTTCGATCCCTGGTCCGGGAAGATCCCACATGCTGTGGAGCAGCTAAGCCTGTGCACCACAACTACTGAGCCTGCGTTCTAGAGCCCATGAGCCATAACTACTGAAGCCCACACGCCTAGAGCCCGTGCTCCACAACAAGAGAAGCCACTGCAATGAGAAGCCCGCGCACTGCAACGAAGAGTAGTCCCCACTCGCAGCAACCAGAGAAAGCCCGCACACGGCGACGAAGACCCAACGCAGCCAAAAATAGATAAATAAATTAAAAATAAAAAAGAAAATGTTTCTTGTATTGTTCCTGTTAAGCATTTCTCATATTTTGGCATCACACACCAAAACATGATGTCAGAGGTGTGGGGTGGGGTGGGGGAGCAGGTAGGGGTGAGGGAAAGACTAGGTTAGATAGTACAATGTGTGCAGTGGTGAAGAATTTACTAAATTTAATTAATCTTCAATTAGCAGATCACTGAGGATATGAATCACTCACTGGCAGTCAAAAGGTGATGTCAGTGAATGGTTATGGCTCAGCATGACTGCTTCTGTTTGCTCCTGTATTTACTCCTAGCACTATTGCTACTGCAGGGCTCTCCTATGAATTTTTTTTTTTTTTTTTTGCGGTACGCGGGCCTCTCCTATGAATTTTATTGTGGGACTTTAGAAATGTCTACTGCCAAGGATAGCATTAATAAGTATTCCAGTTGATAGTTAGAGCAAGGAACAAGTTTCTTAATGAAGTTTATAAATATGGCTTTGGACTGATCTTATTGGCAATAGTCATACTATTAATTTCTAGTTGAAAGAATAACATGCTCACAGGAGTACTGAGCCTAAGTAGAAGACTCATTTTGGTGGAAATTGGGTTAGAACAGCACATGCAACTCAAGGATTGCTGAAGAAGGGCAGGTGCATAAGTTTCTTCATCATGAAAGGTGGATATTCAACGTGGAGACTGAGCGCCCTTGGTTAAGTTTATAAAACAGTTTCTGCCTAAACTCTCTGTAATAGTTACCAATTGTGCTAATAATGGGTTACAAAAGTCCTCAGTAGCCAATCAGGTTGCGACCTCCTTACTTCTAAGCATCTTCCTAGAGAATATCTTATGAAGGTTATGTAGTATCTCAATTCTCCTATGATTGCATCTTGGAAACACTGGCTGCTAGTTCATAAAAAACCAGATTATGTACAGAGTCAACTAGAATCCTTCTTTTCTAGATACTTTGGACTTCCAACTTTAGCTGGGCTAAAGTGGAACAACATGAGCCATGAACTCCAGGCTTTTCTGGACAGAGTGCCATATTTTTAAGTAACCGTGATTGACGGTTATGGGAAAAAAAATACTTAAATGGGCTCTTGGACTTTGTTCTGAGGTCAAAAGGGACCGCATTAAAAAATGTGTATTCTATATCCTGATCTTGGTGTTTGGGGCAAAAATAGTACCTAATGTTGTGTGATATTGTGTATTCTTTTGTTTGAACATAGTTTGTAGATGGACTCTATTAGTGAAAACACACCGTGGTGGAGAGGAATGTGTGTGTGTGTGTGTGTGTGTGTGTTTCAGTGCTGTTTTTATTTATTTATTTTTTTTGCGGTACGCGGGCCTCTCACTGTTGTGGCCTCTCCTGTTGCGGAGCACAGGCTCCGATGTACAGGCTCAGCGGCCATGGCTCACGGGCCCCGCCGCTCCGCGGCATGTGGGATCTTGCCGGACCGGGGCACGAACCCGTGTCCCCCGCATCGGCAGGCGGACTCTCAACCACTGTGCCACCAGGGAAGCCCTCAGTGCTGTTTTTAAATGGCCTGTTGGGTAGGCTTGATGAAATGTGTTAGGTTATTTCACCTTTGTCTCCTGTTCTCTCCCTCCACAGTAAGACTGGAAGAACAACACACTTATACCCAAGCCTCCAGTAGTCTCTTTGGAAGGGTAGGCCAATTAGAACCAAACTGCTGGTCCCCACCCCCAGCCACTCTGGTAGGTTCTGAATCCAGTTTCAGTGTTGTTAAATTTCAGGGCAGAAAGTGATAATTTGGAAAAGTGCCAAAACCCACTGTAATTTTTCCTGGCAGCTTTCCCTTGGTGTCATTGGTAAGTTCTGCATTTCACTGGAGTACCGCACCACTACTACTACAGTACCTCGCAGCAGACATTTTCATTTGGTCCACTTTTATCTTTGGAAGAAGCCGTTTTTCAGTAGGGATAGACAGATTTACACTCTATTAAAGCTAGTCAGAATGCTTTCCCTTAAGGGCCATTCACTTCCTGCCTTATGCTTAATAAGTTCCCTTGGATTTTCCTTGATGCTTACATAAAAAGCCTGGGATGATCATGCTGGAGTATTCTCTTGAGGCGGCTGTGTTGCACACTTGCTGTTTTAGGCTCCTATCCTGTTTCACAGGACTGCATGCCTACCTCCCTCCATTTTGTCAGTGCTCACTGGGTTTTTCCTTCTCTTTCCACCTCTCTTCTACAGACTTGTGTTGGAGCAAAAGACTCCATTCCAGATCCGTTCCAGAGTTACTATGAGAAACTTCCCCACTCTCTGACTTTTTTTTCCTATCTCAGTAAAATGGCAGTGTAAGAAAGCTCTATGCAATCAGGGCTGAAAGAAATACCCACCTAGAATATTTGATTTTCCTTCTGATTTTCTTCTCTACTCTCAACTTTCAAAAATTTCCCCTACAATCATTTTACATGTGTGAAATTTTCTAGATTGGTTTTAAAGAATAAAGCAGAACAAATGCAGCCTGGATTGGTTTAATATGGGAAGTCAAAGAAAACAGACTTTTACTGTTCCTGAGCAATACCTTCAATATTAAGATTGGTGACCTTAACTTTCCTTGGTAGTGTTGTTAGTGTTTAGCTCTCCAAATCTAAAAACAGCTTTGTGTAATAAGTACCAAACACAAAATTGTGGTGTCTCTTCTGATGGACTGTAAAGTGGCTTTCAAGCTTCTTTGTAAGTAGGTTTTTCATATCTGCACTATTTTTGTGTCAGTTGGTGAACACAAACCTTCAGTGAGGCTCAGCAGAAATGCCCAAATTCCTGATCTGCCCAGTGGTTTTATAAAACTCCAGTTTGGGTTGGTTTGTTTGTCTATAAAATATTATTAATAGTTTTACTCTATCTTCTACGAAAGAATCGTCAACAAGCTCACCAATGAGATAAGTGGTTAAGGAAAATGTATATATTAGAGTGTGAGAGAGCTTGTGCTTTTTCCGTCATGTTAGATTGACTCTGGGTGCTTGCTTTGTTTGAAACCCACCACAAACCAAACTAGCCTGGACCTTTATTTATTTACTTTTATTGTAGATTTCAGTTTTGGGGTAGGTGATGGTGAGGGTAATTCTTATTTTATATTGGTACAAAAAAAGCAAGTTGACTTATACCTAAGGGTTTTTTTTCCAGAGCTACTCTTCTGGTGAAAAAAAAAAAAGCCTCATTCAGAAATTAACATTTCTCAAAATGTGTTCCTTATTATTCTGAAATGTAAATTCCTTCAAATTGTTTATTTTAAAACTCTGAGATGAATGGAAGAAGGATCTAGACAAGGAGTTGTTGAGCGCCCACCATGCCTGATACCTCTGGGGTTGCTCCTTTGGAATTCTAGGTGCTGGGCAAGCGCAATTTTACCAGGGCTGTTGAGCGCCATTCGGACTCCGTTCCATTTTTCTCCGTGGCGATCCAGTTCGTATCTTACAGCTCCCGCCTGGAAGCCGGTAATGTAATGAATTGCCTTGACTCTTGCTTCAATCCACTTTCCTCGCTTAATATGCAGTCCAAAGTTTTGCAGCTCGCTGTCAGATGGTACTGCTAGACTTTCACACTGCTCCCAAAGCCTCCGCTGGGGCTGTTTCAGAACACGGAGTTACAAACTTTAAGAAACAGACAGCTCCAGACGGAAATCCACGCCAGGCTTTGAGCTCTGCTTCTGGCTTCCGTCAACTGACATAGTTGCCCTTTTGCTCAAACTCGCAGCTCCAGTTCGCACTCGGGAGAGCTCCGCTGGGTATCTGCTCGCTTCGGCGCGGCGGGGACGCGTGTGAGGCTACAAGCCGGCGCTCCACCTATTTCGCCGCGCCTTAGTTCAGAACCGAGGCAAACCTTCACTTGGGTCCGTGGGCTTAAACGTCTTCCTTCAAAAAGAGTGGGGAAAGGAAGGAGCCGGGCCCGATCTTTTGTTTGTTTGTTGAATTTTGTATTTCGGACACTTGGGAAGCAAATTGCCAGAGAGGAAGGGCTGTCCTCCCTGCAAACGTTTCCCTCTCTTAGCAAACCCTCCAGGCCTCGGTTCCACATTTTGCAGTTGACTGCGTGGATTTTAATAGGCTGTTCCCTTATTCTCGGGCCCAATCCATGCACACTGTGTAGCCAGATAAAATGAGAGCACATTTTCTGCCATTTTCAGTCGGTTTGTCCTGGCAGCCCTGCCCCCTTCCTTGGCTGCGGCAGCCGCGGGAGTTAATGCTGCGCGCAGAAAACTCCGCCTGATCCTCCGGGCCGGAGATCCAGTCCACGTTTGCCAGGTGCCGTGCGGTAGGGGACGGCGATAAGAACTCTCTTGTGACGGAGCGAGCGAGACTTTAGTCCGGTTTCCATGTCAACGATACAGTCCATATTTGCCATCAGGCTGTTGGTGGCAAAGGAGCTTTCGTGCGGGTAGCGCTGTCCTAGTCCTAGTTCTCCAATCGGCGCCGGGATTCCTGAGCTGCCTAGGTGTGGGGTTAAAAGGCAGGGGCCGTGGGGGAGAAAACTCCACCAGCGGGAGGACCCACAGCCCGAAACCCGGGTCTCGGAGCTCGGGCCAGCCACGTGCCCTGTTCCTCCCCTCCCCCCTTTTCCCGCAGCCATTACCCCTAGGGA